AGAGGTTGCCTGCATCTGTGATGCATGTGTTTGTGTCATCATGCATGCTTTGTGTTATGTGTACACAAATGAGCAATGGCATCCATTGCACGTTGCTAATAAATAGGTCAGTATTCAGTCCGTTTCCCCAGTCCCTTATCACTTGCTAATTATTCTGCAGTCCCACAGAAAATAAATAAACTGAATGCATTCTCCACAGAAGTCACTGCACCTCCTTATGCTGTAAAATTGGTCATTGAAAAGAATTCTTTCTTTTTAATTATTTCAATTCTGCGGGTAGCAACTTAATATAAGTTGAGATAGAAGTTTACTGACCACCAAAGTGGATACTTATGCATGCTAGAAAAATCATCCAGAAAAATAAATGAATACCTCCTATCACAATACACGCTCAGGGACGTGCACAAATACGGTGCAGGTGGCGAAAGTGAGGTAGAAGCTCAAATGAATATTTTGATGCCCTGGAATACACAGCATATTCTTCAAGTGTGTAGAAGTCAGCATTTTCCCTAAATTGTTTCCTTTGTGCTTCCTTTTCTCTCTAGTGTCTGGCTCCTGTCCATAGGGACACATTCTGTGCATTATTTAACACTCTAGATCTATGCTTCCCAACCCAGTCCTCGGGGAATGCCAGACAGTCCACGTTTTTGCTCCCTCCCAGCCAATCAGGAACACAATACCTGGTACAGGTGCGCTAGGAGCTGAGAGGAAGCACAAATGTGAACTGTCCGGGGTTCCCCGAGGACTGGGTTGGGAAACACTGCTGTAGATTTTCTGACAGGAAAGTCCTGTGCTCAAGTTTCTCTCAGTCAAAGAAAATGCTTAAAGCTATATATATGGGTAATAATTTATATTTTCTCAATAAAAGAAAATGTAACATTAGAAATCAGTGACTTGCAAAAGTATTGTACCCCTCTTAAAATGATCAGCTTTTCCTGAATTGCAAATGACTTGATTTGATTCGATTCAATTCTGTTCAATTCAGTTCAGTTCAGTTCAGTTCAATTCAATTAAATTTTATTTGTATAGCGCATTTTCACAACATTTCAATTGGGAACGCAGGCATGGGGAGTCTCTGAATGTCAGCACTCTACAGTGGAACCTTCCATATTCCTGCATAAATATGACTTAAAACATCATCAACACCAGACTCTAATCTCAGCTTCAAATTACCTGCTTGGTTGATATAGTTTTGCCACTCACAGATTTGTGACGTTGGATCATTTTCCTCAATAAATGAATGACAAACTATGATATTTTTGTCTCATCTGTTCAATTGTGTTCAATCACCTACTTTTAGGACTTATGTGAATATCTGATGATGTTGTCATATTTATACAGGAATACAGAAAATTCTGAAGGGTTCACTAACTTTCAAGCAGCACAGTAATTCCACATGAAGGAGTGTGAAGCTAGAGTGACAGCACTGACAGTTCAATTCATCCAAATCCAATGGCACCAATCCCCACCCAGCTCTAAACCTCACACTGTAGGCCTAACTGAGAGTAAGCACTTAGCTAGAGCTAAAGTCCCTATAAGCTAAACTACACAAGTGTGTTTTTTAGTCTAGACTTGAGTATTGAGAGTGAGTCTGAGTCTAGCACACGGGTGTCAAAATCCAGTACTGGAGGGCCAGAGACCTGCACATTATTGAGTTTCCCCTCATTTAACATACCAGATTCAACTACTTGTGCTAATTACCACTTAACTCTTGAGATGAATCATTTGTGGTGGAGCAGGGAAAGAACTAAGCTAACCAGGGCTCTGGCCCCCCAGGACTGCAGTTTGACACCCCTGGTCTAGCACATCTGCTGGTATAGTATTCCACAGCTGTGGAGCTCTGTAAGAGAATGCTCTGCAGCCTGCTGTAGTTCTTTCTATTCTAGGTACTAATATATATCCTGCTCCTTGAGAATGAAGCAGGCAAGGAGGGTTATAAGAGATCAGTAGATCTGTAAGTTATTCTGGTTCAAGGTCATTCTGTGCTTGCTAAGTTATTAGTATTTTTTGTAGTGAATCCAAGACTTAACTGGAAGTCAGTAAAAGGAGCATAGAACAGGGCTAATGTGATCAGTTTTTAGTTGTTGTAAGAACTCATTTTGTACCAGCTGAAGTGTATTTAAGGATCCAAATGGACAAGCAGAAAGGAGGACATTACAGTAGTTCAGCCTGGAAGTTATAAAGGAACGTATTTATTTCTCAATCGTGAAAGGAGAGCATACTTCTTATACTTTAATACTTCTTATGTAAGCATCGAGTAAGGAGCGCTCCTTTACCACCAGCATCTTTGCCAGATGAGGAAGTTTCAGGTTTCTCCACTGATTCTTAGGACTTTTTACTCCGGTACTGTGGACAATGTCCTGACCCAGAACATCACATCTTTGTACAGAAAAAGCTGTGTATAGGACATTAAGGGACTACAGATAGTGATTCGGGGAGCAGAGCGCTGTACCAGATCTTCTCTACTGTCTCTGCAGGAGATTGATACCAGGAGATGCCAGAGCAGAGCAATCAGGATCATCAGAGACTCGTCTCATCCCAGTAACTGTCTGTTTGAGCTGCTGAAATCAGGCCGGCGCTTTAGGAGTATTATGGTAAAAACAGAGAGACTCAGGAAGGAGTTTCTATCCTCAGGCCGTACGACTTTGTAATCAAGACATGCCACCACTACATCCTTAATATACACAATTCAAGTAAACTCTTCCTATCTGTCACCAACTGGCTATTTGAACAATTTGTAAATACTTATGACACCTGCAACAAGTCACACTGCACTTAAAATACATAGTTCTAACATCATATGCACATATACAGTTTAAACCTTAAGATTATTTTGTAACTGTCATCAGTTACTTTAATAGCACAAATCATATTTTTGAATATATAGGCTAGTATTTTTTGGGTTATTTATGCATTTTTGATATTTGTTTGCATGCACTATGATATGCCTAGTTTATATGGGGCATTGGAGCGGAACATTTTATTGGGAGCTAACTTCCTGTAGGATGTAATTTTGTGAGCACACAACAAAAAAAAAACAAATTCTTCAGTGTAACGGTGATAAAGGATTTTATTCACAAAATGAACTAAAGGTGTTATTTTAAGTTGCTGTATGACATATACGTTTAAAGAATTGTTTTGGAAATGCGTTGTGGAGAAAGCTGAGAGTTATGAAGTGAAGAATTAGCTCCTTTGGTAATAAGCTGCCACTGAGGTATGTGATCTAATGTTTGTAATAGTTAGCTAATCTAGCCTGTTAGTTGGCTACGTTAATTTAGTGACATCTGTTCAATGAGATTAGCACCAGTTTAATTGTTGTTTTATTATCAGTTTTCACGGGACAAATCGAGCAATGATGGAATAAAAGATTTCCCTGTATTTCAATCAAAACTTTGTCTCTGTATATAACTGGGGAGCTACAATTTTCTATATCAGAACAACTTCTATATATCTCTGTACTATGTATATATTTTATTCTTAGTTTTTTTTAACTTTTAGTTTATTACAATTATGATTTTTTAACTTGCTGACTTAATTCTTTATTCTGTTTTTGATTTGCACAGTCTAAGGGTCGTTCAGGGTACATTTCACTACATGTTGTACTTGTATAACTATGTATGTGACAAATAAAGTATTTTGTATCTTGTCTGTGATGTTCATTCAGGCTGATCCTGCTTCTGGAAATCTTTGGCTCCATCTGGTGGAAGCCCTTTGAACAGCACAGGTACATGAGCCTGAGTATCCTTTTACTCGAACACTGCAAGCTATATTTCTGTCCTGAACCTGAGGGTGGTGTTTGCCATCTTTTTCTGATAGACTTCATCAAACTGCTCATTCTGAGCCACAGTGAAATGATTTTTCCAGTCAGAAACCTTTCCTAGAAAGAAAAAGAGAGAAAGAACACATTCTGATCAGAAACTAGAAATAAACACTTGAGATGAACAGACTCTTTCTGTTATTTCTCTTGATAAGTGCTCTGGTATCTCTGCATGTAAATTCTGCAAGACATTCATCAATCGGCCGAATGAATTCATCAATATTCATCAATATGTCCGAGTGCCACAAGCTCATATTAGATCGTAACAAACTGATGCACCATCTCATAATCTGCCAATTATACAATATGGAAAAACCCAATTGAAATATTTTGTGATTACTGATTACCAGTGTACTTCTAGCAATGGCAGCAATCAAAAATCCTGACAGATACTGACCTGTCATACACCATCTGCTGTAAAATGCTGATTGTGCCACATATATGAACAGAAGATGCGTTAAATGAGAGGGAAGAGATGGAGATAAAGACCACTGTATCTGATCAATGTATCAGTCTTTAGTGAGTATTAGACCTTTTAAATTATTAATCAGGTTTGTCACTGTCAGAAGATCTCAGTCTCTCATTCTACTGGTCTCCTATCCCTCTCATGCTGTCACGCCAGCGGCTGCGCGTCATCACCCCCTTAGCTACTTAAACCTTGCACGACCATCATTCTGTGCGAGGTATTGTTTGCAATGCAATTTCCGAGCGACTACCTTTGTCTTTGTTTCAGCTCCGATCTGCCCGGCTTTCCCTGCTTCCCCTTCCTGCACCTCCTGAACCTTCCTGCTCCCGTCCAACCCAGCCCTGATCTTCCCTCGTGTCAGCTCCCCGTGTGTCCTGTCAGCGTCTTCGGACAGACCTCTCGACTTTCGGACTCCCCTGCACTCGGCTTGACTACGGTTTTGGTTTTCCCTCTGGCTTTGATTACTCGGATCGGACGGATATTGGCTGTGACCTTGTTTGTTCTTTGGACTCTGCTTCGGATCTCCCCAATACCTCGCCAAACGCTATGGATGTACAGAACAGAGTCCTATTCTACATTCATCTCGTGCCTTCCAGAACACATTCTGCGAAGTCTTTGATCACCCCGCAGTGGGATGAAATCTCGGTGATCGGCTTCTCGACCTGCGCCAGGGAAATTGATCAGCCTCGGATTTCTCACTGGAATTCCGCACGGTCGCCGCTGGACTGAGTTGGCTCACCGACTGCGTCCAGACTATTTACCGTCACGCCCTCTGCCCTGAATTACGGGTGGAGCTGGCCTGCTGGGGAGCCACGTGATCCTTCAACGAGTATGTGAAGCTCTCGATCACCCTCGATAATATCATCCGGGAACAACGCCGATCGTGCCAACCCTCCACCAAGGCCCCGATAACCACTCCTCCCCGCCTGGAGGATCCGGAACCGATGATGGTAGGAAGAGCACCCCTCTCGGCGGAGGAACATGAGCGATGGATGAGAAAGGGCCTGTGTGTTTACTGCGGGGAGGCAGGTCATATCCTCCGCAATTGCCCCACCAGACCTTCGGAACGTGACCCTGGTGATGCTCAGGTAAGAACCCTTCCCTTACCTTCCATCACTCAGACCCAGATGACAGTCCCCGGGGAACTCTTGTGGGGGAACCGCAAGGTTTAGAGCCTCGCCTTGGTAGACTCGGGAGCCACCGGTAATTTCATTGACAAGGAATTCGCCCTTGTTAACCACCTCCTGATAGAACCCCTTCAACAACCCTTATGTGTTCGGGGTATAGATGGTAATCCCCTGACGTCCGGTTGGGTTACGTCCCAAACCGGTTCAGTTACCTTAAATATCGGGCTGTGTCACAGCGAATCTATTCGATTTCTAATCATTTTGTCCCCTATAGATCCGATCATCTTGGGGTTTCCCTGGTTAAGGGATCATGATCCTCGAATTGGATGGAAAACCGGAGAAATCTTAGTGTGGTCTCCTACCTGTTTCAACTGCTGTTGAAACAGGTAGGGGACTACCTATAGACCTAAATCTTCCTTTCGTTTCAAAGATCATGGAAAAGGTTGTAGTTCGTCAGTTGTCTTCTTTCGTACAAAAAAATAATACTAATTAGGGGTGCACCGATCGATCGGCGCACCGATCGATCGGCCTCGATCACGTTAATTTGAGGGGATCAGAAATCGACCATATTCCCATGAGATCCACCGATCTTAGTTATATGCTTTTAACTCTTTGGGGTCGAGTATGTCGTCGACGACATCGCGT